ACTAGTTCCTGCATAGGTTACTGCAAAATGCAAAATCAAATGCAAAATAGATTTTGCAAGTCCCAGAGGTCAATCAAAGTCAGGGTGATATTGAGTTGCACGCGGACACACAAAATGACACCGATAATATACCATTTATATTCTACACGCCTTTTGTAGCTTGCCTGCAAGCTAGCCTGTTTGAAAAATGATGGACAATCTGCTTCCGCGCTCAGTTCAATAATTAATTGAACAGTGGTGAACGGCATGCGGCCTGGGTAGAGCGGCAGCTCCGGGGAGAGTGCAGAGAGCGGCCAGTGTCGACACACAGGCCTGGGCCACATAAATAAACCGTGGTTCACGGTGACGCGCCGGCTGAATACAGCCGGCCGCCGACCGGCAGTGCAGTGGCCGGCGGCGCGGAGCCACCCCACGGCGAGCCAAACGACCGGCGCTCGGCCAAAGGAGAGGAGCTCGCGACGGCCGGACGAGGGAGCCGGGAGCCGCCGGGGATGGGGGAATGGAGAATAACAGGGGACGTGTGGAGGCAATACCCGAGCAGGAGTGGTAACTACCTTCAGCAGAAAAAGAAACCTGTTTGGTCGCTCAGACTGACTAAAATTAAACATCATCATCGATCAAAATAATTACTACTTCGTGGGTTCTACGTTACCCGTTTTTCACAAACACGAAGCCGGCTGGCGCCATGGATGGAGCGTCCTTGTAGCGGCCCAGGTTGTGTTCAGAGCCAGCATGTGAGGTGAAATGATTCAGGCGGCCTTGGCAGGCGTTTACCAAAGTTCTGGCGTGATTACGAAACGTTGCCATTGAAGTCGATCTCCGTATGTAAGTCGCAACGAAAAGTGGACTATGCTTTCATATCTTTTTTTAAGATGACAAAGAGTCGAGTCATAACCTGTAGCATTTGCTTACCTACTTCAAATGAACACAGAAGCCAGAGAAGTTACTGAGTTTTTCATGAATCAAATGCTTGTTTCCTTGGCCACTCACGACAAAGTGAAAGATTAATCCAAGCAATCAACATACAGTGGCCACTGGTCTTTGAAAGCGAGCTCTTTTGGGCTGGTACTGTTACGTTGAACAACTTCCTGAACTTTCCGTGAAATTTCCATGAGCTATGCCAATGCAATGGACATTGATACAATTCACCAGTTAGGTGTATAGACGATGAAGCAAAGGTAATAAGAATCTCAGAAGCCTCCTAAAACTCAGCCACTATCGTAAATCACAAAAAAATGACTGTAAAAAGGCTGCTCGTTCTACATGGCTACGGAAAAAAAGATAACATTCCCACCAGCCTGGTATTGTCAGAACTCAGAGCACACATCACCCGATATATTACCATCGGCACTTGATGGAAACGTTATATATTTAGCTCAGATCCCGCAGAGATATTCGCCGGCTCCAACAACAACGGCGCGTTTCTGTATACATACACAGGCGAGCGTGGTTGCGCCGCGGGCTCTCAGCCAAGTGGCGACCATTATCGTCCCCACCGTCCCTTCCCGACCTGACCCAGATATGTGAAGGTCCTATTCCCACCGACCCCTCCCCACTCGCCCGCTTCCCCAGCGATCAATACTGGAGACGGTGCCGCGACCCGGGGCGCCGCCCCTCCCCCACTGCGGCTCAGCTGACGAACAGCTGATCGGCGAGCATTCGCCAACGCCGGAACGCCAGCGACGGCCGGCCGCCCGGTGTCGAAACAAAGGAAACGCAGCACCGAGCCCCGGCGGCTCTGTTTCAGGGTGACCCGGGCAAAACGGTCCGCCATAGCAGGGGGAAAACAACAGCGAAGCGTTGTCGACTATGGAAGATTGGGAGGAACTTCCCGAACAATTGACGATAGCACCTCATTGCATTTCTGCTTGATAAAACAAAACATGACAATGACAGATTGGGAAACGGAGATTGAGCAAAATTTTAACCGATGCCAGCTGTTACTAATGCACTACAAAAATGAGAACCACCAACCCTGAACCGCTACAAAAGCTTCCCTTCCCGCACACGGCAGCCCGCCCCAATAACCAGGCCATTTCACGGAAACCATATCCTCCTGCCGACGGGCCCGTTCGCCCGCTGTGGCGAGCAGTCGCCAATAACGAAACGGACAGCAGGCCCGCAGTCCGTATCACAACAAAGGAGCAGCGGCGGCGCCGGCGCAGCCGCCTCGACCGGCTGACAGGGTGCGTGTCAGCGCTGCCGCCGCTGCCGCAGCCTCAAGGACAACGGGAGGGGGGGGGGGCGACGACACCAACATAACCAGAACTATCCAACAAAATATGAGCACTTGGTGTACGGCGAGCTTAAATCAAAACCGGTTTGGTTATTAATAGCTGCACGTAAGCAGTGTTGAAAAACAGTTACATTATGTATTTAGGTAATTAAAGCTGAAGCATCCGGTTTGCAGACAACTGCAACGAGAACAAAGGAAGTAGGTATTATTAAGATTTTTCGAGCTACGGACTGTAAACAAAGCCTCGAACTTGTTGCAAACTAGGATAAATCTTCAAATTCGGACGAGTCGCGAACGCGTTGGGGGCGTATTTATTCATTTTTGGAGTTCATCATTCCTTCCAGAATAAAATCGAATTTTACAGAAAAAAGATGCGTTGCCGTTTACCGGGTCAGCGCTCTAATCTATGTCAGATGCGTCCATTAGCCTAGAAGCAGCGCATCAAAATCTAACGAATCGCCAAATCCTGGATGGACAGTTTTACACGCGCAAGTTCCCAGCAGTCACAAATTGACACTTTGTGACTCACAAAGTGTCAGTTGGAGCAAACCGAACATCCACCGGTCGCCATGACAGACCTTCACAGTCGCACACTTCTAAGCCCATTACCGTTCGGGAAAGCGGAGCCGTGGGCAGTGCTGGAGAGAAATCCGGCCGAGCGCCCGTGTTTAGTGCTCACGACACTAGCGTCAGCCGCCCTGGAACGCCGCTACACTCCCCTGGGGCCTCCGGGTGATAAAAACATAGCCAGCTGTTACCATGGCGTGCGGGCGACTCATGGAGAGAACCCCTCTGTGCTCGGCCATCACCGCTGCGCAGCGCACAGGCATATAATAAACACCGTGACCATCCCAACCCGCCTAACGTCATCCAAGACCCGTTAGATAGCAGGGAAATCGGAGAACTCCAGCCGACGACTAACGAGCTACCCGGAACTGATCCGGCTTAGTGACGCGCGCGTCCGCCGTGCCATGTGTCTGCAGTATGCCGGTGCTGCGCACATAGGACCAGTCCTCAGTGAACCCGGTACCGGCGCCCCGTCCGTCCGGCCCTGCTCACCTGGCTGTGAGGCCTCTGCCATGGTGGCGAGCGGCGCGCTGCAGCCCGGTCCTGGTGCGGCAGCGGCGCGGCGCCCGACTGATCCACTGACGCCCGGGCGCCGCCGCTCGGCCGCGCACCATGAATAAAAATACGGCCCAAGGTCGGGGCACGCACACGCGCCGCCCGCCGCCGCCGGCGCACGCAGCCCCGGCCGTGACCGGGCCGGCGCAGGTGGGTGCCAGCGGGGCCGACGGAGCCAGCGTCGGCCCAGCGTCGGCCCACCGACGGCACCCGACACCGAACGACGGACGACGTCAGCCTGCGCATTGGCGTGATGAAACCGAATGGTGACGAAATTTGACTTTGGTATTGACCGTATTGCGGTGTCACGGATTGTGGCAATCTTAAAGGATGAATTTCTGCTAATCAGCGCGGAGAAATAAAATCAGCAAATGGTGAGAGAATGGAATACAATAAAACAGTGAAACAAGAACGTTTAAGAAAACTGAATAAAACTTCTTGGAAACGCCAAGGTTACGGTGGCTTTTTTAGGCATACGCCGTCCTCCAGTGTTGGATTAGGGTCCACATCAAGATGGGGTTATGCGACTTATGATACCGAGACGGTTAGGCTTACGTTGTCCCAGGGGATCTGAAATGAAATGAAATGAAACGACGCATGCGTAGCTAAGGATTGGGAATGAAGGGAACAATGACATAAGGAGTCATTTCGAACATCATCTGATATGGAAGATATTCACTTTTGGTCCCGTGGAACGTGACAGGCATTGTCACGGGTAGTTATACAACGCTTGGCACTTATCACAGCGCTAAATGCTCGTTTTACCTCACACCTCTCCCATAGCTAAAAGCTCACGGACTCCGTCCGTACGAACTGCGTCACCCTTTGTTGCTAAGGGAATGGAACAAAAGCTGGCCGCTTTTCCAGCTGGCCAAAGTTACAGCCAACAGTCTGTCCATATCGGGTGGGATCAATGGATGGCTGAACCCTTTACGTCGTACAGCGCAAACCCGACAAAACTGCCATAAACTCGCAGTCTGTGTCGCGCTACAGCTGAGCCAAAAACGCTCCCGCCTTGCGTAAGCCCGTCTGACCCCCAGCTACTGACGTCACGGGTGATGCGCCAATGGGGCGCGACGTCACGCGGTGGGGGCGTGATGTGGCGCACTTCGCACCACGCCCCCTCGAGGGGGAGGGGGAGCGGAGGGGGACGCTACTGCGCGGCGCCCAGCTGAGCGGGGTCACAGGCCCGTCCAAGGCCACCTCGACCCAACGACCGGGCAGCGTTAGCAGCTGTCAGTAAATAGAGCCAGCACTGCAGCAGTGCAGCGCGGCGCGCCAGATCGGTGAAACAAAAACATGCCTTTGAAGTTCATGCAGGCACTTTGCGCCAATAAAAAGTGTGACTCGATAGGTAAAAGTTTGTCAATGTAACAACAAAATGGCATAACACATTGTGCCTGAAATATAAGTACATTTCTATCCTTCGAGTCGAACCCGCAGGGTCACTTTACTAAGAATCAGGACTGGAATGGCCAACTGAAGCCACGGCCGTCTCAAATATTTACAATTCCGCATCCTCCTCTGTGAGCCATGATCATTCACAATTGGACAGTGGACAGCCGTTTGACAGTGGAACTGGAAAGCCATTGGACACAGGACAGTCACTGAACACTGGACAGTGGACAGCCACTGGGCTCACCTGTGACGGCGGTCGGCGGCAGTCCGGCCGTATCTGCCGGCGCCGCCTGGGCGGCAGGCGCGCGCGGCCAGGCTCCCCTCATGGCGCCGGGCCGGGCAGACCCTCCTCTGAGCACCTCCGGCTACCACCGCCTGCCGAGGCGCCGGGTCGGGGCGTCAGTGACCGTCGGGCGTCGGTAGACACGGAACGATCGGCGCCGCCGCGCCGCCACCGACCGGTACAGGGCAGAGCGGCCCCGGAGCACAGTGCTCTCCCATGGGAACACACACTCTCCGGCCGCCAGACCATCACGGAATGCCGAGAGCCTGCACACCGGCAACCACAGGGTAGCTGAGCTCGCGAATTCTTAAACAATCCCGAAGTACCCGCTAGCCGATACACGGGGGGGGGGCATGGGCAATGCCCCCCCCCCCCCCCAGGGCCTAAATGGCCCGGTGGCCGGTTGTCCCCTCCCCTAAAATTACTGGTTGACTCCCCATCGAGTTTTTTTTCTTCTAGATATTGCCATTCTTGGATGTTCATGGCGCGTGAACTAGTAGTTAGTACAGCTAGAACATCGCGAAAAAATCGATCTCTTTTTAAGTTATTTCGCTTATGTGTCGGGAGATTTCACCTAAAATGCGCCATAGCGTTTACCCGATCGGCACAAAACACAACTTTACGACCCTTTGCTCCTGAGCCACGTGGCGACGTCATAAGCTCCATTCGAAGGAGCATAAAAATAATGAAGAAAGTATGACATTTTTCGGTCAAGTTTAAGGGTCAGGTCACCAGAGAATTTTACCAATAGACGAATTTTCCTGAATGTGATATTCCTGATGAGTGACCTGCAGGCTGCAGCTCATGAGCTAATAAAGCTAGAATTCCACAAAAATACACTGGATGGCTTTTTACAGCTTCTTCGCTGGAGTGTCCTTGGATTTGACAAAAAGTCAACGCTTTAGCCGTCAGAGAGCAAAACAAGCGGTCATATAATGGACGTTTCGTTGATCTTTGAAATAACTACTTTTGCCATAAAACATGTCCGAAAATATCCTCACCGGCATCGTGTTCCTCTCGTCGAGACACGCCAAATGAGGTATCATTTGACCTTATGACGTCAAATGGAAAGTTGACCTAAGGTCAAGGTCACGAACTGACCGAAAAAGGTAGCGTCGCACGCACATGAGTTGATCCGTACAGTTAAGCTGAACGCATCCAATGTGTTTTCATTCCTCTAGTATGTCTATCAAAAAATTGCCGCGTAAAAACTAATGATGACCTTCCATGACCTAAGATGACCTCAGGAGTACACATAAGCTGGGACCACGAAAGCATTTTTCCGATTCAGCAATAACCGCGCCGTGCTGTGGAGGCGGTTGGAGGCGCTTCACTTCGGTAAGTAAAAGGTCGGTGGAGGCGTCTTTACTCTGTCAGGTTTTTCGCAAAAAAAAAAAAAAACGGCGGCGCTTGGAAACCTTATAATACATCCTTTCTGCACATGCTGTGAAAATTTTTGACCTGGGTCGTTTAAGGTCAGGTCACGGGTCACCAGGTCACGTCAATTAACCTTACTTAAGGAAAAGCTCCAATGATCGTCATAGCTACACCGACTGAGCGATCGAGTTGAAGCTTTTAGAGATTGATAAGAGCAACAATACGCATGAAAAGCAAATTTTCACAGCATGCAAAGAAAACATGTATGGCAAAAGAACGCAGCCTTTTTTAAGATATCATCGGAAAACCACAAGGGACAGACAGCCTTCAAAAACCACTTGAAATAAAAGAAGTTGAAGTCTTGAACAGGCTTCAGTGGGAGCGGGGGGGGGGGGTGCAAGTTATCAATGAGATCAGCTTCCTTATACTTATAGCAGCTGGTTCAGTTGTCACTGGTCGAGCCATTCACTTTTTCAGGTGTCCATTAGTGAATTGTGTGTCCACTGGTTCAGTTCCATTTGGTTCAGTTGTCTTCTGGTTCACTTGTGCACTGGTTCAGATGTCCACTGGTTCAGGTATCCACTGGTTCAGTAGTCCATTGATTTACTTGTCTACAGGTTCAGTTGTCCACTGCCCACTGGTTCAGTCAGCACTGTTTAAAGGAAATAGTTCACTTTTAACATGGGGTTTTGAGCTGGAATAGCAGTTTCGTAGCTTGAGCTGAGACTAGCACAAATCAGGAGCTTTTACGGCTCAACGATCACCCTAGACGAAGATATTCCATTTCTCGTTCCGAAAAGAGTGCCTTGTAGAGGAATGCGTGCCTTGCACAGGAATGCAGCCACGTCATCGTCAGCCAATCAGCGTGCTGCTTACAGCCAATGCAGTATGCGTAGGTTTGAGCTACGCAATATGATTGGTCAATGCGTAATAAGCTTCCGCGTCAAACATTATTTTACATAGGATATAGTTCGTCCTATATTAAAATATAGAAAATAATTGTTTTTACAAAAAGGTTTTATTTTATTTCATGATTATTTTGAGCATAAAAAATCATAAATCAATAGCAAAATACTGATTTCAGAAAAGTGGACTGTTTCCTTAAAGTTTTTCAATGGTTCACTTATCTTCTCTTCAGTTGTCATCTGGTTCAGTCATCCTCTGGTTCATTGTCCATTGGTTCAGTTGTCCTCTGGTTCACTTGTCGAATGGTTCTGCTGTTACTGGTTCAGGTTTAGTAGTCCACTGGGTCTAGTTCAGACTACAGTCATCCTCTGGTTCAGTTATTCTCTGGATCAGTTGTCCACTGGTTCAGCTTAGTTAGACAACTAAACCAGTGGCAACTAAACCAGACATCTAGTTTGGTTGCCACTGGATCAGTAGCCCACTGTTTCAATTGTCTACCTACTGTTTCAGTTTTCATCTGGTTGTCACTGGTTTTGTTGCTAATGGCTCTACAGTCAGGGAACCTGATCAGCATTCTGCATACTTTGACCTCATTGCCTGAACAAAGGCCAAACAGACAAAGAAGTTGTTCATCCAACAACTCACCTTTAATTGTCTGGCAGCTTGAAGCTTAGGAAATTATTTCCTACAGGGTGAAAATAATCCTCAGCAGAAAAAGTACTCTGCAGACTGCAGACCATGTAGCATCTGAAATGATTAGACCACCTCGTTAACTTAACATGCATAAACTGAAAGCACCATGAGTCATGAGTCAGTGTAAAATGGACACCTGATGGATGGTGGTATAATAAAGGATTTATTTCTAACTTCTAAGGTACCGTAAAGTGGGGCTATTTGAGACAGTGGGGCTATTTGAGACAGTACGGCAGTGGCTTAGTAAAATTGCTGTAAAATTAAAACCGTTTGATATTTTTTATCAATTTTTGCTCAAGCTGATGTGGAATTTAACAACGAATTCCATGGACAGAGTTTTTTGAAAATTTTGAAAAATTTTGAAAGAAATTTGGCATTAACACGCGCAGTGGAAGGGTTGCGAGTACTACGCCCAGTGGAAGGGGGGGGGGCGGATGTCGCCCCCCCTAAGATCTCAGCTCCCACTGGAGCTAGAAAGACGAAATTTGGAGGGTAGGTGGGGGCCATGAGGAACTCTGTTGTGTGTGAATTTCATGACCCTAGGTCAATATCTTCAAGGTCAAATGAGGTCAAATGTGGTCAAATCTGCCATATTAACGATTTTTTTGCGTTTACACGCCGATAACTCAAAAAGTTACCGGCCGATTTTCTTTTTTCTTTCACTATACGAAAGAACAAACATTTGGGAGTATGTATGGTGAATTTCTAGATAATCCAACAATAAATATGGCAGTTAGAAGCCTGCTAAGGGTAAGATGTCGCCGGCTGAAGCGGGATCGGCGGACGCGGGAAACGCGGCAATCACAATTTTGTGTTTACACACTCATACCTCAAATTGTTACCGGCCGATTTTCAAAATTCTTTGACCATATGATTGCCTGTACATTTCTCAGTCTTCTCACCGAATTTGACGCGAATCTAATATAATCAGCGGTAAGGAGCGCGATGTAAAGACGGAACCGTCCCGCCCCGGCACAGTCTACAATTCAGGCGGCGCGTAACGGCTAGCGCCGGCCGCCGCGCCGCCGCGCCGCCGCGGCGGCAGGATGTTTGACTTTACACCGCTATTACTAGAAAAGTTGTGAACCGATTTTCTTATTTCTTGCACGAGAAGATCCGCAATTCAATTTTGGACAGGTAGCCAAAATTTCACATTGATATTATGTTCGCGGCGCGAGTTATTGGCGAAAAACAGGAGGGGTGGGCGAAATCCGCCCCCCCCCCTTCCACTGCGCGTGTTAAATGAGAAATACAGAAAAACCACAATTTAATTTATACGAAAAGCACCCCTACCTGCAGCTTAACATGGTTGAAGTTTTAAAAACTTTGCAACCGAATCTGTCGTAACTATCGTTTTACTTATGGGCTGAGTACATTTTACATGAAGACATTATATATTGTTAGCGGTAGTGACAATTGTGTAACCCGATGTCTCAGAATCCCGATGATACCCACCTCGTCCAACCTCAACGTATACCAAATACAGCTGATGATTGTGATGCCAAGGCCATAAAACAGGTGATATGATGCATCCTAAAGACTTCCCGTCATCTGCGTAAGGTGTATCAAACATTCGACCTAAGGAACACCGATGAATCGGTCATGGGTTCATGGTACTTTTAGCAGCAAGCAATATTTACACATTGTAACTAAATACGACCATCCAGTTTGTGACGATATTAGTTACCTTTATGAACATGTGCAATGTGCATAGAATGTGTTTCATCAGTCACTAACGGGGTCGGTAATCGACCCATGTCTACTCTGGTTGACCAAAAGCACCACTGAAGGTTATTTATCATACATACTTACTGTTAGGTGAGCCTTCAGTATACGAGGGGGTATCGAAAAGTTCTGATCATCGCCATGAATTAGATGAGATAGAAATTTGATTTTTTTACATGATGTTCATTACTCCTTTACAAGTCACCACACACGACCGCAAACTTATTGCATCGTTTCTTGAGCTGCCTCAGGCGGTCATTGTAGGACCCTCGCACTGTCCCGTAAATCACTGCTCCACCTGATCAATGACGTCATTTCTGTCCTTAAGTCACCGGCCATACTGTGGATTCTTCATCTCGCGTAACAATCAAGAGTCAGTTAATACCCGGGCAGGTGAATTTCTTAGATGCGGTAGGATTTAATGTCCACTTCATGTTGTTTCTTCAATCGCAGCTCAGGACGAATGGGCGGGGGCGCTGTCAGTGCGGATAAAACATCTTTCTTAGGATTTTTGCGTCGATTCTGCTTGAGGCCATCTCACAACGTCTTCAAAAGTGTGCAGTAGTGCTTGCTTATCATTATCCGACCATCATCAAGACAGTCGGTAATGACTATCCTACGCCAGATCCAGATCACTGATAGCATTGACCTTCCATATCGGCTTCTGCATCTTCGCCTTTTAAGAAGGACAGATGTGCCGTGCTTAAACTTCTTGATCATCTTTTTATCTCCGGATCATACACATAGATCCAGCATTCGTCATAAGTCATCAAATGATCGAAGGTGTCTTCAATTTCCTAAAAAAGGCCTATTTTTCAGTTCGAAAGCCCAAGACGCGTTTTTCTCTTGAACAAAGTAGACACACGAACTTCTAAGCGGGCTGACTCCTTTATCGTCTGTAGTTCTTCGCTGATAATATTTTCAGGCACTGCCAGCATTGAAACTTTTCTGTTGCACAACCATCTGAAAGGTCGCACGACGATCTGCAAGGATGAGGTCCTCCACTTCCTTCACAGTCACCACCATGTCAGTCACTGGTAGTCACTCACTTCTTGACTCCCCTGCAAGGGCCATGCAACCAAGTTGAAAATTATTTCTTCATTTTCGGTAAGTGCATGAGATGGGCTTTCCTCGCCATAAACTAATTGCACGTGCTTGATGTATTTTCTCAGTGTGATACCGTTTCAAATGCATTAGGTGGATGACGGTTCGGTCCTCAATGGGCCCAATACTCATCTTTTTTACTTCTAAGTCTCTCCTACATAAGATAAAACCACTTCTCAGGATTTTCTTTGCGGGAACATTGTTCTTAAGAACCAAATATAATACCAACCAAAAATCATCAAAATCGGTCTATATCTTCTATGTGATGATCAGAACTTTTCGATACCCCCTCGTACGTACTTGATGTAGTGCATCATAACATGCAGTGATCTAGGGAAATCGGTATAAAATCAAAACCGTTTGACCTTTTTCTGTTATTTCTTTACAGGTTGATGTGCAATGGAACAATGGATCATGCATATCACTCATTCAACCATTTTGGAAACTGCTTTCCCCTTTTTAATGCATTACGGTGCGTTTAATGCTGTAGCGAGCCCGTCTCAATAGCCCCACCAACTTTCGGCCTATATGTTTTACGCCACCAGATGTAAACACAACAACTTTATTTGAAAATTTTACTATCTTTTATTTAGAAATAGTCCTAGATAATCATCCTGTGATTTTTTTTTAGCTTAGGATCACATCATATTATGACAGCCCTAGCATACAGTAATGCAATTTTTAGCAGACCGAAATACTGTGTCCAACGAAAAACGAAAAATTGATTATAAGGGTTATATAGCTGTAGTTGAAAGAAATACTTTTTGCCAGAAGTATCAAAATTGAATTGCCAATCGTAAGGCATGAAAAGAATTATCCCTAGTTTGACCAATTTTCTTCAACTTCCTTGCGACTAAAACTGTCTCAAATAGCCCCACACTATGGGGCTATTTGAAACAGGCTTCAATTATAAAAATAACTTTATGTATGGTTACTAGCTGAACCAAAATGGACCTATCTGAAAGAGGTTACAGAGGACTACGTTTTTGCAATTTACATGCTATAGGAAATATCAACCGTTTTGAAGAGAGAGGCCAAAAACAGTAAAATCCGTTTCAAATAGCCCCACTTTACGGTATTAAGAAGTACTGAATTCAGCATTAGAAAATGTGTGCAATATTGGGTACAAGTACCTACTTACAATGCTATAAGATGTAAGCCAGCATTTCCAAAACCTATTACAGCATATTATTTCACCTTAGTCTCCACCTGTTCATGCATCATGCCATGCTCTTGGCAGAAGTGAACTTAACCCGCGCGGGGCTGGGGGGGGGGGGGGTAAATTTTACCCCCCTCCCCTGTTATCTCCCGAACTAATGGTCCGATTTGGAAAATTCAAACGCCAATCGAAAGCTCTCATCACGAACTACTAAAAACATGTACTAAATTTAAAGTTTGAGGTCAAGGTCAAGGTCAGGTCAAGGGTACAAATTGCAAGTTTCTACAGTATCGGCCTTGCACCGTAGTTGCCGAAGAATGGAGTCATGGACTGAGATTGATCGCCCAAAACGTGTTCTTAGGCTACCAAGACAATATTCGTTGCATACAATATCATTCAGAGGTCAAGGTCAAGGTCAGGTCAGGTCAGGTCAGGTCAGGTCAGGTCACCAAAAAACAAAATATAGAAAAGTGCATGTGCAACACATGTTTTATGGGTCATTTTACTCATAGAATTCAATAGGCACACTCAATAAGTGATATGGACCACCTCTGGATGAATTTCAGGTCGAGGTCAGGTCAAGGTCAGGTCAAGTGAGGTCAAATTTTGAAGTTGGTTGTTAAGGCCTAAAAAGGTGTCTATCTGATGCAGTTTTTCACGGCGAATCGAATGATGCTATTTTTGTTTCCGTACGAGGTCTAGAACTTCCAAAAAAGTCATTTTTCAAAAAAATTGTGTGTCGTGACGTCATAAAATTTTGAATAACTCCCACATTTTTGAACCGATTCTTCTAAAATTTGGTATGTAGGTGCACATAGACCACTTCTCTGACATATATTCCGGTTTTTTCGATAGACTCAAAATTTTGGATTTTATAATGATTTTCCCAAAAAAGTCAGTTTTTTGAAAAAATATAGGCCAAAATCAAAAATTTTCAAAAAACCGAGATAGCCATTTGATAGACAAAGTAAAATTACGTATAACCTTTTTTGTTACGTCTTGATTCAAGAATCAAGACTAACATCGTCTTGATTCATGAAGATGTTAGCGGCGTTTGAACTTTTGCCGTTTTTTAGGCGAAAATGGCGAACATGACGTCACTAAAACGTCAATTTCTCAAAAATTTCCGACGGATTTCGCTCAAATTTTCAGGGAACGTGTCAAATTGATGTAAGAAAAGGTACTGAAAGTGCGCCGCCGTTTTTGAGATATCGCAAAAATTCGCGAGGGGGGGGTAAAATTTACCCCCCCCCAGCCCTGCGCAGGTTAACTGACCTCACTGGACCGGACCACCTACAATGCTCGCAGTTCAAGTTCTGTGGATCTTCTCGCACCATAACCTTATAGAACGTGATATGGGTGAGGACAATCAAAGCAGGACAGTTGAATGCTATTGGTCGGAGAGCCCATCGTAACCTAGCGTTTGTTCGTTTAATTTGAATGACATACTTCAACTTCTCTAAAATTGAAATGTGTGATACCAGATACAGTTCAAGTTATCATTGATCATCCAATTAAAAATAAGCCCTACCAAACCCAACAGCATTCACCACTACCCTCTTAACTCAGCACCTTGACCTCACACGACATAGCAAACGACAGCTGGAAACATCCTAATTCCTAGCTAGGTATATAGGGCCGGTAAATGTCAAGTTTAAGTCCTAAGAAGATTTCATTGATAAATTTTTCATATTTTTACATTATTTGACATCCTGAATCCAAAAATGATACTCATATGTCTCGCAAATAAAAGAAAAAAACATAATCAAACCTGACCTAGTCTTCTTCTTCGTGGGTTAGGGCGCGTATACTGAAACACCCTCCCTCTTCAATATCACCCTCTTCTCTGTGGAACACATTACACAACATTACACAAAACAAGGTAGCAAATGCCCGCAAATGCCCTAAAGAGGTAAACGCGCCCTACAAATGACGATCTAAGGCCAATGCGTTCATTTGACGTTCATCCAGCGTAACCGGACAAATCTTCGTATGGCATTTCTTCGTCGCGCAATATTTCGTCCGCATTTCTTCGTCCGCCAATCTTCGTCGGCGCATTTATTCGTGTCGCATTACTTCGTCTCGCATTTCTTCGTAGGTGCAAAAATTCGTAGCGCATTTCTTCGTATCCGCATTTCTTCGTCGGCGCATTTCTTCGTCAAGCATTATTTCGTCCACGCATTTCTTCGTCTACGCAAATCTTCGTCCGCATTTCTTCGTCCACGCAAATCTTCGTCTGCGCAAATCTTCGTCCGCAAATCTTCGTCCCCGCAAATCTTCGTCCGCAAATCTTCGTCCGCATTTTCTCGTCCACGCATTTCTTCGTCTACGCAAATCTTCGTCCGCATTTCTTCGTCCGCGCAAATCTTCGTCCCCGCAAATCTTCGTCCGCAAATCTTCGTCCGCAAATCCTCGTCCGCAAATCTTCGTCCGCAAATTTTCGTCCGCATTTTTCGTCCACGCATTTCTTCGTTCAATCAAATCTTCGTCCGCAAATCTTCGCCCGCAAATCTTTGTCTGCGCTATCTTCGTCTCCGCTAACACTCGTCCACAAATGTGGTTCAATAAAACCATGAAGAAATATCAGACAGTCAAGTGAATGACGAATTTGATGCATGGAATGGATGATCGAAACTTTTGAAGTCAGGTAGATGAGGTCAGTCAGGTGAAGCTATTGTATTTGGAGCCGACAATTGGAACATTCCATATCATTTGTGTCCCGGACATTCTTTTTTTCGCGGTCGTTGAATGACAATATAATCTCTTGTACCTTCGCCGGCATAGGCGGTGGAACGGGGAGGGCACCGGGGCACCGTTCCCCTCTTTAATTTTGGCCTTTTAACAGTAGCCCTATGGGCGTTGCATGGAAAGCATATTGGACCAAAAGTCAGCAGTGCCGTGCCCCCTTAATTGAAGATGTTCCGCCGCTACTGCCCGCCGGACCTATTTGTTTTCTACGGTACACGCCGGCCGAGGGGGCGGGTACGACCCCCCCCCCCCATCGCCGTTTCGCCACTGGTGGAGCTAGCGCGTCGCGGAAAAAGACGAGCGTGTGCGCCGTTACGAGCCGCAGAGATTAATACCCGATTTTAAGGCCTTCTAGGTCAGGGGTCGGCATACGGCCCGCGGGCCGGATCCGGCCAGGTGGGTGACGGTTGGATCCGGCCTGCGACCATCTGACGCCCGGCCCGCGGCTGGTATCAGCGACTTACATCGTGTTCCGGCCCGCCCCCCCCCCCCCCCCCACACACACCGCCTGGAAGGTTAAGCGAGTAGACCACGTGAAGCCGCCAAGTGCACGCAGCTGCAGCACAGCAGCAGTCGTTGATGCTGCGCGTAAAAGCTGCTGACCAAATCTTACCGTTGCAAGTTTTGTCTAGAAGTAGAATTAGACAAAAACACCCGCAAATGGTGTTTATAAACTCATGAAGTGTGCGAAGGAAGAACTGTTGTCAGCCAAAGCACATTTGAGTCACTTTTATATCGGAGTCGATTTATGAAGGGCCGGAACACGATGTAAGTCGCTGATACCAGCCGCGGTCCGGACGTCAGCTGGTCGCGGGCCGGATCCAACCGTCACCCACCTGGCCGGATCCGGCCCGCGGGCCGTATGCCGACCCCTGACCTAGAAGGCCTTAAAATCGGGTATTAATCTCTGCGGCTCGTAACGGCGCACACGCTCGTTTTTTTCCGCGACGCGCTAGCTCCACCAGTGGCGAAACGGCGATGGGGGGGGGGGGGTCGTACCGGGTTCCGGACAAAAAGTCAAATGATAAAAGGTAAAAGGATGATTAGTCAACAGACATTACGTCAAAAGCAAGAAGTCAAAAATCTTAAAAGTCAACAGGTAAAAGGTCAACAAAGAGGAAAGTCAAAAGTCAAAAAGTCAAAAAGGATAAAACGTCAAAAGATAAAAAGTGAAATTGTCAAAAAGTCAATGAACAAAAAGTCAACTAGCATAGAAGTCAAAAGACAAAAAGTCAAATGGACATAAGGTCAAAAGACAAAAAGTAAAAACGGCAAAAAGTCAAATAGCCAAAAAGTAAAAAGGACAAAAGTCGAAAGACAAAAAGTGAACAGGACATAAAGTCAAAATCCAAAAAACCAAAAGGACAGAAAGTCAAAAGGACAAAAAGTCAAAAAACAACAAGTCAACCGGGCATGAAGTCAAAATAAAAAGTCAAAAGGTCAAAAAGTCAAAAAGACATAGGTATAGTCGAAGTCCAAAAAGCCAAAAGGACAAAAAATCAAAGGGACAAAAAGTCAAAAGGACAAAGGTCAAAAGACGAAAAGTCAACAGGACATAAAGTCAAATTACGAAAAATCTAAAGGAAAAAAGCCAAAATCCAAAAACTCAAAAGGACAAGTCAAAGAGACAAAGTCAATGACACCTGGATCATCAGTCATTACATACATGAGATAACATTTACAAACAGCTGTACAGTGTACACAATTAAGCAGGATGCTGCACAATATAACCTGACCTGCATCATTGGACATTGAAGCGCGACTGCCTCCATTGCGCGACTGATGGGGATTCCCATGGCCCGCAACCGCGACTCAGCTGGTCACACGGGCATGCTTGGCTGAAATCTGACACACATCCGTTGACACTTACGTTGACGTGCTAGGTGGGAGCTCGCTCGCATCGTAAGGTTGTCATGAGGCAGCGTTACATGATCCTTCGAGACAACTGGCTGTCCCAGGCGCAGTTTACTGGAATTATTTCAACAAATATAGTAACCCGGATTGTTATCGATGCGAAAGTTTCGCTTGTTCAAATTTCCTATTTTGTGTAGGGAGACGTTTCTCATCAATTGATTCCGTCACGGGTTCTATAAGCGATTTCACACTTTTATTATAGTTCAAGCGTATTGTATGGTACAATTGGTACAATAGTAAAGCGCGTCGTTTCTTTTAGATAGGTGGAAGTTGGAACGAGAGGCAATTGTGTGATTGTCGGATTGTCCTGCCTTGAAAGGAACGCTCATATCAGCATCAACAGACAACAACCTGTTAAAGGGACCCTCCCACCTTAAAAAAGTTAATGAATTGGCATAAAAGTGATGTACCGTGAATCAGAAAGAGCGAAAATGAACATCTACCAAATTTCACCGAAAAATATTCACCCGTTTTTGAAATATAAGACTTTTATTTTATAACGCGCGGTCAATGGGCTTGATGACGTCATCAGAGTCCGTTAGTGTTAAGAGATAGGGACTACGCTGGTCCCACCCTGCAAGTAAAGGGAAGAAATTTCTTGAACACTATCAAGCTGCGGGGGTTGCGACCAGGATAAATGGTGGTTTCTGAGCCTGGCCGCAAACTTGGCTATCTCAACTCAAAACTAATGTTAAGGTGGGAGGGTCCCTTTAACCCGGCAGTTGCTGGGGTATTTCGCCACCCACCGTTTGCTGGGGGGGGGGGGGGGGGGCGTTAAACGCCCCCAGCCGATAACTCGAGAACCAATAGGCGCAGCGAAACGCACGAGGCGGCAAACGAAAGAGCGCGACGAGACGCTTCAGATGAGTACTTTAAAGTTGAGTTTTGAGGTCACAGGTCGGGTCAAGGTCAGGTCAAACACCTGAAATCGGCCTTTCAGTAGCATGGACTTCAGGACTTCGCAATGGGCGCCTCTCGTCATAAACTCTGTCAAAATGGTGCACAATCCATCGTATAAGGCCTACAAGAGTGTCAGCTCCATGTAGGGGTCAGTCAAGCATAGGTCAGGGTCAAGGTCAGGTCAACCGGGTAGGCACATATCCCCGAAAATCAAAACTGATATTCGCAGCCCGTGACACATGTTTTATGGGTAATTTGGGGCGTAGAACACGATGGTGACATTCATTTTATCATATGTGTACGTGTTTGGCTAAAAAAGTTTAATTTAAGAAATGCATGTATCATAGTCGTGAAGTAGTCACGAGAAATTGTCAAGATTCAGTTCAAGATTTTGGAAAATGCGGAACGATAATCAATAATCGAAGATAGCCATTTGATTGTTCATGGTATTGGCAGTCTAATGGCGTTTACGGCATGTCTGTATGTCTATTCTGTGATTTTATATGATTTTTTGAACATACGCCGTTTTTGGTCGAAAATTCAAAAATCATGACGCCACTAAAACCTCGATATTTCAAAAAAATTTCCGACCGATTTTTTTTAAACTTTGTCACAATAAACTTCAATCAATTCCCTACAGGTCCCCAAAATTTGGCGCGCCTGCGGCGCGCCGTTTTTATGCTATGGCCCGGCGAAAAAAGTGGGGGCGTTTAACGCCCCCCCCCCAGCAACTCGCGGGTTAATATTCACGGACTGCATACAATTAAGATGACCAATTTTCATCGAAAGGT